GGAAGAGATAGATGGGAGGGCATCAAGCATCAACAAACCTCCATGTAGAATCCAAACTTTCCATTGATCAGGGAAGACGTAATGTTGAACTTTTTCAAAAGCTCTGCTGCTTCCTCTAGAACGGGATCCTCATAGCCCCACCAGATGTCGTGGACACTGACTCGCCTGAAGGCATTCTCATACTTTGCACGCACAAAGGCGTCGATTATTTTCTGTAGCCAAGGCAGCTCGAATCTCATTATGGTAGCTATTGTCTGTTGGTAAGGGAAAAATACTTAATAAATAAGAATCGTAGAAGAATAAGAGTAGATCTACATGTATTTAGACTGTCACCAACAAACAATTCAGATGATATTTTCTGTAGCCTCTCGAATCTTATTATGGTATCTATTGTCTGTTGTTAAAGAAAAATAAAGAAACTACTTAACAAAAAAACCCTATTATGATAGAATAAAAGTCCATTCATTTTACTGTATCCTACAAACAAATATATACATGCTATCGTAAAGGTATAAGAAAAAATAAACAGAAGGCCAAACAGATTGCTGCCAAATTTGATGCCAAAAAATAATTGCCAACGTACTGAACACATGTTTAGTTTTAGTAAGTGTTTAATGGCATTTGCAACACAATAAGGCCATATAAGTGCCGAAGATTAGAGGTGTTACAAGAGAGTAACAAACACAAAAAAAGAATGAGGGGAGGTAAAGACGATATGTGTTTGATAGGAAAAAAGAAGCAATCCACACCACAGCACCCGCCAACCACCCACTACTGAACACATGCAGGGACTGGGATGTACTTACAATTTAGTTTTAGTTTTAGTAGAGGTTTAATGGCGCTCGCAACACAATAAAGTCATATAAGTACCGAAGATTAGAGGTGTTACAAGGGAGTAACAAACACACAAAAAAAAGAATGATCAGATGTTTTGATAGGAAAAAAAGAAGCAAATCACACCAGGGCACCCGCCAACCACCCACTACTGAACACAATCATGTAGCCGTAGGGATTGGGATGTACTTACGATGTACGGCACATTTATGGTGAGGAATGTGTCCGTGTCCGGTCCGACCGACGCTTCTCGGTCAAAAAAGTACGTCTGTGGCTGGACATACGACACCGTGCCGTTCTGGTGCCATTTTATGTCCTCTTTGTGTAAGTGCATCCTGGAACAGAGGATGTGTGAATTCATCAATGTGTGCGAGGGTGTCTGGGTAAGCTTTGTGGGGCTGTCTTTACTCAAGGATGTACTGGAGAGAGAGAGAGAGAGAGAGAGAGAGAGAGAGAG